AAAAAAAAAACCAACAACAAAAATTATAATAATAATAGAATGATTTAAAAAAATAAAAGACAACCCTTGCGTGTCCTAAAATAAAAAGTGCAACCGGACCTTTTCTTTCTGTTTATTTAACTTTGCAAACTGAATACTGTTATTTGGGAAGGACTGTTGAAGAACAGCTGGGCTTCCTCCTCCCAGCCGCCACAGCCGGGTGAAGAGTTAAAGCTATTCTGTAAACATCGGAGTTTCCCCCTCTCTGCGGTTCCACACCCCTCTTCCTCGTTGTCTTCGGCCCCTTCTTCCCCACCCCTCCCGACCCCCTGTATTTCGGCCACCCTCCCGCCCCACCATCCTGCCCTCTCCGCCTCTCCAGCCAGCAAGCAGCAGCCTCTCCTTCCCCCCCCCGCCCCGTGCGCCCATCGGATCCGTTATTAAATAAAAACGTTGATTTAAACAGTTTAAGTCCTTAAAAAGCTGTGTTGGGGTGGAGGGGAGGGCTGGCTGCCCTGGCGAGCCGGACCCGGCTAGGAGAAGATGTGGATGGCTTGCGTGGCGGGCGTGTGGCAAGCGGGACACTCGGGCTCGGCTTTGCCACAGATGCGCATGGCACACTCCATGCAGAAGAGGTTGTGGCCGCAGGGCACCAAGGCGGCGATCACCTCGCTCTCAAAACACACCATGCACTCGCGGGAGCTCTTGCGGTGCCCGTCGGAGCTGCTGGAGTCGGTGGGCGAGCCCGAGGCGGCCGAGATGCTGCCGGGCAGGGAGGAGGAGGAGGAGTAGCCGGTGCTGTTGGAGAAGGAGGACAGCGAGCCTTGGGTGGGCAGCCAGGACAAGGTGCTGACGGGGTCGCTCTGGATGCGGCGCGCTAAGGGGTGGTCCAGGGCCACGCCGCCGCTCTCGGGGAGGGTGGGCGAGTGGCGCGGCGTGGCCGTGCCGCTGTTGCGTCTCTGCGAGCCGTTGATGGAGGAGCAGCTGCTGAAGGCTTGCAAGGGGTTGCCCGAGCGCTCGAAGGGCGACCAGATGGTGGTGGGCGTCGTGAGGTCGAGGGCCAAGAAGTCGAAGCCGAAGTCGCACTCCTCCGAGCCCAGCGGGGCCGGGGGCTCGCTGAAGGTGAAGCCGCTGCTGGTGCTGTAGGGGCTGGTGGGGCTGGCGTCCGCCACCCGCCCGCTGTAGTAGGACTCGGTGGAGGCGCTGCCCAGGGAGCTGAGGCTGTCGTTGCGGAGGGCGGCCGAGGGGCGGCGGGCAGGGTGCGGGGCCTTGGCCCACAGGCTGGCCGTGCTGCCCTGCAGGTCGAGGCAGACGTCGGTGCCGTTGGAGTGGAAGTCGTTGTCGGCATTGACGTCGATGAAGGAGCCTGTCCGCATGGTGATGTGGGCCTCGATCTCCTCCCGGGCCCGGTCCACGTTCTCGGGCATGCCCGTCACCTCGAAGACGGGCTCCTTGTCCCGGCTGGGCGTCACGATGTAAGTGTGCGTCTGCTGCTGGATCCGCTTGATGGTGGCTCCCTTGGGGCCCACCACCAGCCCCACCACCCGGTACGGGACCCTCACCTGGATGGTGGTCTGCCCCGGCAGGTTGGGGGGCCCCTGCATGGCTCCCGTCAGCCCGTTCACTTTGTTGCGCGTCGCCCGGATCATGGAGAAGTGCTCGGCAGCCGAGAGGATCTCCCTTTTCGCCATCTCCACGTCCTCCTTCCTCCCGGTCACGATGAAAACGGGCTCCTCGCCCCTGACTGGTGTCTTGATGTACGTGTTGGTCTTGGCACGTAGGGCTTTGATTTTGCAGCCTGCAGAGCAAGGAGAAGGGGAAAAAACGACACGTCAAAGCTGAGACCTCGCGGGGACCCCCTGCCCACCCAGGGTGGGAAGATGCAGGACCAGCAGGTCCCTTCGGGTCTGCACCTACAGCACAGACACCTTAGAGATGGGTCCCTCCCGCCTCAGAGGCAGCCAGGAGCTCACAGTTTGGTGCTGGGCGGCTGCACCGGCTCGTCCAAGCCACACCAGGCTCCTGGCACCAACGTGACCCTCTGCCACCACCTTCTCTGTGCCACGGGGGGACCCCTCAGCCTGTAGCCCAGCTCCCGAGGGCTGGGACAACACGTGGGCAGCGCGGGGCCAGGGCAGGCAGCCACGGGGACACTTTCTGGGCCACCGAGGGAATGGGAGGCCAAGTTTACTCAAAAGGTGTTTAAGGAGACGTGACGTAAAAAAAAAAAAAAGACACCGAAGACGGAAGGGAAGGAAAAGGCTGGTTTGGGTCCTGCAGGTTTGTCGACACCTCTCAGCCAGCAGCTAAAGCAGAGAAACAGCCCCGGCTGCGCCCCGACAGCAGCAGCGAGGGGCAGGGGCGCTGGGGGTCCCCGTGGGCGGGCGGCACAGGCAACCCCTGTCCCCCCTTGCCCTGCCCTGAGGGAGGAAACCCCAGGGCAGCGGCTGCACCCTCGCCGGCTGGGGCAGGGGTGCTCGCAGGGCACCAGCTCTCCCCGTTCTGGAAAGACCTGCTTCCCCCGCACCAGGAACATGATTCAGCAGGCAGAGCCCAGGCTGGGACGCAGGAGACCGGGGCTTTGCTGCCAGCTCTGCTTTTGCCTCGCACAACCCCGGGCAAGTCCCTGCCCCTTTCCTGCCGTGGGCGAGCTGGGCTCCGGCTGCGAGTCCCCGCAGTGCCTGTCCGGCGAAAGGCTCCGGCAAAAGGCTCCTGCTCTCCTTCAGGACGGGTCACTGCTGCTCTGGCCGAGGGGCTGCCTCCGGCCGCAACCCCAGCCCTGGTAACTGCATCCGCTCTGCCCGCGCTCCGGTGCGCGCACGTAGGCAAATCCACATGAGGAGCCAGGCGCAGCGCAGCGGGAGCTCAGCCCGGCTGGCCGCCCTCCGCTCCCGGCACACCAGGGCCAGTGACCCCGTCTCCCACCTCCCACGCGCCCCCTGAGCCTTGCCGCACACCCGAAGCAAAGCTGGGAGCCCACAGGGATGGATTCTGAGCCATCAGAGCCCCGAGACCACCCCTGCCCACTCCGAACGCTCCTGCTGCAGACCCACACAGGTAAAGAGCCGCACACCGGCCCGGAGAGCCAAGGCAGCCGCAAGCGCCCGGCTGGCTCCTCCACAAAGGGCTCGCTCGGGGCGCTCCTCCTCCTCCTCCTCTTCCCAGATGCTCCCCGAGGAAGGGCAGGGCTGCTCTTCCAGCCGCAAGGCTGCAGAAGGGAGAGCGCTGGGAGGTGGAAGGGCCTCAGCCGGGGGTGGTGGCACAGGACGCTCGGGCAGGTCTGTCCCAAGCAGCCGCATCAGCCCGCGCTCGCTGACAGCTGGAGAGCAGAGCCCTAACGGGGGCCACGCCACCTTCCTGGAGACCTGCACGGGGTACCTGCACCCCGGCGTTCAGCATCACAAGTACCAAAAAACTGTCCCAAGGAGTGAGCAGCAGCTGTCCTGGGTGTCACAACCCGGCTTTTTGGCAGCACTAACCCCTCCGATAGCCACATTCGGGGAGCTGACAAGGGACGATACAGTTCTCGGGACAGAAGAAAAACCTCTCAAAAAAAAAACCAACCCAAACCTCTAAAGCAGCTCGCACCAGCCAGCACAGCCCTGCCCAGCTCCAGGCTGCCTTGGGGTGCTGGCAGCTCTCCACATGCCTCCCTGCTGCCTGCAAAGGTCCCGGCACGGCGACAGGCAGGTTGGAGGGGAATGCTGAGGGGGGGAGCAGCCAGACCGAGCTGGGGAGGTGGGAGACCTGCTGAGATCGCCCTCCTAAGCAGGGAAACCCCCTAGATTTCGTACAAGCCAGATCAAAAGCACTTGAAGGCCACAGGCGAGCGCTTCTTGCAATCAAACAAATGTTCCTCCCGCCCTGCCTTGCCCCTGGGCTTCCCTCCCAGCTCGGGGCAGTGGCACAAGCCCCGGCTCAAGCCTTGGTGCAGGCGGCCAGGCTGGGTCAGGCAGAGGCAGGGCTGGGGAGGGCACAAGGCTGCCCCACCACCCAGAGCCAGGGAGGCCACTGAGCGGCTGCGGGGGACATGTGGAGGAGGAATGTGGGTGGAGAAGGGTTTGTCCAGGCTTTTCCTAATTTAGGACAACAACTGGAAGGTGTATTTATGGCTGGGGGCATATGGTGGGGAAAGCAACGGCCCAGTCACCGGGGCAGGGCAGAACCAGCAACCATCAACGGGGAAGTTTCTTAAGCGTGTATTAGATTCTGCGAGGGTGTCCAGAGCAAGGTGCCTACAACTCCCACGTCTTTCTCTCTCCCTGATTTATTCTGGTACCTGCTATAAACTCTTCCCCTGCTCTGTGGCTTGGCAAACTGGGATGGGCACAGTGGCAGTGGGCAAGGGCAGCTGGGCTGGGAGCCCCCACAGGACTCTCCAAGGGCCTCCTGCTGACACCAGCCTCACACCCAAGGTCCCAAATTCACCCTTTGCAGCAAGAAGTGGCAATTTCAAGATCCAAAGGCATCAGCGGCTGTGAACAGGAGCTGCTCGGGAGCCATGTCCCGCAGAGGGCACAGCACGGCGAGGCTCTTCCTCGCCCCACTCTGCCGGCTGCACTGGTGGGGCCAAACTGATGCTACAGCAGCATGAAATGGAGGAAAAGTTTATCCGGCTGCTCCTTGCGAGCCCTTCCTAGGGGCAAAGCCAGCAACCTGGGTTAAAAATCAAAGAGGTGCCTGACCTGGCCAGCTCCGCCCTCCTCAAACAAGCAGGGCAGGAAAAACGCAGAGTCCGTGGCTGCTGGACACTGCCGGGGCCACCACGCCCGTGCTGTGCCGGGGCCACGCGTGGCACAGCAAAATGCAGCACGGGTCGGAGCTGGTTTTTCTAATCCTGGTGTAAAAGAGGACGGTGGCAGGTCTGGGGCAGGGGGGGTGCTGGCTCGCCTCCCCGCCCGCCTGCAGGGAAGCACTGCAGAAATAAAGGCATCGGCTGGGGAAGCCGCTTGCCCAAGGCCACGTGCTGGCATCTGCACCGGGAACCGTGCGAGGAGCCTCCACCGCTGCGACACACCAGTGAGTGCAACCAGATGGGCACATCGGGGACGTGGTGGGAGCAGAGCCAGGACAGCACCACGGCCTCACCCAGGGACCAACCTGTCCTGCCACTGCCCCCAGCCCCAAACTCCACCTAAGGCCACTGGGACTCCCAAGCAACAGGTCCTAAAAGCGCTGACTGGGAAGGGTGGGCACCGTCCCAGGGCTGGAATTCAGGGAAGGGTTTAATCCCACACGGCACCCCGAGCTACAGGTCTGCAACACCGGGAACTGGGGAAGAGACAGAACCTCGCAGCAGTACGACCAACCCCTGTCCTCCATCACATCTGCACCCGAGACGGGGCTGAGCCAAGGCCGCTCCTGCCCGCACTCAGGGAGATGCCGACAGCCAAGCCCCCCAAAGCCCCCCAGGAGCCAGAGGTACGCGCACCACACGAGAGAGGTGGTTTAACCAGCAGCCTACAACAGGGGGAACGATCCACACCAGTGGAAGATATTTGGGTTTCCACAAGCCCCCACCCAAGCACACTGTGGAAACGCCATCCCGGACGGCGGCATCCCTCTGCAGTTGGTGCAGCACAACCCTGCTGGGACGGGGCCGTGGAGAGGACCAGGGGCCTCCCGGCATTGCCGGTGACCCCCGCCACGGGCACGGCCTCACCCCGGCATCACCGGATCGAGCCCCTCGCCTCAAGCAAGCAGCAGCCCTTGGCATTCCCGTGTTTTACCTCACCAAACAGGCAGCGTTCAAGACAAGAGAGGAGGAAAACAAGGTGCCAGACTTTGCCACAAGTCTATAAACAAGGTGCCTTTAAAAGCAGTTTTCAGATTCAAAAGAAAACACCCCCAAAAGCAGTGGGGGGACGGGGGGTGGCAGCCCCAGGCGTGCTGCAGCCCCAGTAGGTTTCAGCAGGGCTCTGGAGTAGTTCAGTCGCCACATTACGGCTCTCTGGCAGAGCTCAGAGTCCCCGTGGGCCCAAACTCTTCATGACAACCTGTGGCCACGCTCAGCTGCAAGCAAATGCCCTCGTTCTGGGGGTCTCAAGCACTCGCAACCCACCGAGTGGCAGCTCCTCTCAACCCCTCCCGTCTCCAGATCCCACACCCTCCTCTTCCACCCTCGCCAGCTCCAAGCTGCTCTGTTCACCCACACAGCTCCCAGCACGCTCCAAAGCTGCCCCACGGAGCCGCAGTGCTCTGGCTGTCCCTGCCCCTCCTGCCCTTGGGCTGAGAAATCACTCGTTTCAGACAAGAAACAGAATCCCAGGGGATTCTCCCCAGAATGATGCAGCGATGGAGGCGGCACCTCAGGAAAGGCAGCTGCTCTCCCTAAACGTCCTCTCTTGGCAGCACCAAAGAGGACTTCACCCTCTGTCAGGAGCCCCAGTCGGATCAGGGGTGTGACTATCACAAGAGCCCATGAAAACCAGTACAGCGCAGGCTGGGAAGTGCCTCTCCATCCTCTGTGCTCCTGCTGGTGCCCAGGCAAGAGATAAGAGACCCAACACAGCTCATCCGCTCGCTGATCCCCAGCACAGCCTGGCCAGCTCCTGCTCTGACATAAGGCGGCCTCCTCCCCGTAAGGACAAAGCCAGCTGATCCCCTCGGCCACCTCCATTTGCCCAAGGAGCTCCGTGTTTGCAGTGCCCAGCTTCGAGCTATGAAAACCCAAGAAGGGAGTTTTTCTGGAGGAGCTCTGGGTGGCACCAGCCAGGAGGACTGTGTTCACCACAGCCTCCGCAGCCCGGGAGACGGCTGATGCCTTGCGCCCAGCCCTCTGGAGCCTGCTACCTGCTGCAGACAGGCATTGCCCTTCCTCTCCTCCCCAGCTCTGCGGCATCTCCTGGTCTCAGACCCGGCGTTACGGTGCTCCCAGTTCCCCTCCTCACAGGCGAATGGCACAGGATGTGCCAGGACTGGGGCCAGACGCGGAGAACACGTTGCACCTCCATCACATCTCAGCTCCCCTCTTGCTGAGAGCTTCTTCCCACCTCTCTGCAAACAGTAATTAATTCATCCTTGCAACCACACTGCGGGAGGCAGGCACATCACACCTTTGTTTCTTCTCCAGACACTGGGAAAAGCGAGGCAGGGAGGCTGGGCTCCTCGCCTCGGGCCAGAGAGGAGGAAGCCGGTGCCAGAGCCAAGATGCGCAGGCAGATACTTCAGCGATCAGATCAATCTGTGCGACTGACTTCAGGAGTTTCTGGCTCTGCTACGACCCAGCGAGGTGGGAGGAGGCAGCCAGGCCAGCCTCGAAGGACGTGGCGGACGTGGCATGATGGGCAGAGGACAGCAGAGAGCAGCAGTCCAGGGCTCAGAAATAGGAGAGGATCCATCACAGCCCCAGCGACCCACTGCAAGTTTACAGATGCTCGGGCTAGCCCAGAAACGGGGGCCTGTGGTGTCCCTGCGCATCCTTCAAGCGCCGAAACACCGGCCACGCTCTGGCAGGGAGGAAAGCTGCCGTATTTCATCCTTCCCTGGATCTCCCCTTCGAGCATCCCAGCGTCTTCTATAAACAGCAACTTTCCTAAATCCTTTGCAAAGCTGCGAACAGTCCCTGCGTGTCGCAGATGGGGAAGCAGAGCCCAGGAGAGGAGCTGTGGCTGGCTCCGTCCCACGAGAGGCACGTGGCGTAGGAGGGTAGTGCAGCCCGGGGTTTTCTGCTGCACCGGCCGCCTGTCACCCTCTTGGCCTTGTTGGGGCAGAAGCTCCTGGAAACGCTCCCCCAAAGCCAGGACACCAGGGAGCAACACCAGCACGGTGCCGACATGCAAGAGCCAGGGCAACTCTTAACACCCAGCCCGCCCCATCTCCCTTTTCCCCAGCCGTTTCCGTTATCACCACCTCTCTTTCTGCTGGTTAGCAAGATCAGCCCACACCGCTGCAATCAATGGCCACAGCACTTTTTGGAGACAGTCCCTCCCACGGCAGGAGTCATGAACAGGCTTGCACGCAAAGGCCTGGCCATGTAATCCCGCCAGGCCACGCTGCCTTTCGGAGGCCGTGTG